TAAACAAATAGTCATTTGTTTTTATCCATATTTATTATATAGTAATTAAAGTCTTATTATCATTAAGACAAGTTAGGACAAAGATTAAGATTAGATTATTACTAGCATTATTATTAATGGGAGAACATTTATTAAAACTAAGAAAACAATAAAAATTGTATCTTAAAATATACTATTGAATTAATTTCACAACGTGACTTTTAAATATATAATAATTATTATTGACTCATTGCAAAAATTATTACTTTCAAAAACTGCTCAAAAAATTCCGGACTAATTCTGATCTTGTAATAAGAATCTCCAACGGGACACCTAGATTTCACAAATGGACTTCATGAAAAGTGACTCTATAATGAATATAGTTTTGACTTCTTATCGGTACAAATTACGCACTGGCAGCTATCTGACAGCGATGAGACCCTTGATATAAAGAATCGTTAAAAACTTGTAATGTTAAAAATGACAATAATTTCACGAGCAAAAAGTTAATATTTAATCATTGCCTCAGACAAAGCTCCAGTCTCTACTGACTTAATTCATAAATTTTTATTTACTAAAAGCAAAGAAAAATTGACGATTATTCTAAACTCAAATTTTTAATTAGAAGTTACTCAAAATTATTAATGACTTTTTATAATCAAAATAAAATCCAAATTTTAAAAAATTTCAAAATTAATATTTATTAAACTTAAATCAATAAACAATTTCTGTTCTATTATCATATGTTTTGTCGATTTCGTATAATTTAATATAATATAAATGAAGCAATAATTTCATTTATTACGATAAGATAAATGTTTTGTATTGAATAGATATTCAATATGGATATATACATTTCAATAAATGTATAATTTATTAATAATTATTAATATTTAATAATACACAAATTACAAAAATAAATATGATGGCATTTATCTAGACATAGTTTACATAAATTTTATATTACATATCTAATATTATTATACATATATTACACACATATATTTACAATAAAATTAACTACAATATTAAAACGCATTACATAATTTGTATGTATACCTATAGAATTTTAAAAAATATAATTTTAGTGGAGTTAAAATAAAATTTGATATTAATTTGGTTTATTTTCAAATTTGATAATTAGAATAAGATGCTGATAATTAAAAATTAATTTAAAATTTTATTCAATTTTTAATCTCTCCTTTCCAAATATCAAATATGTACATCTAATGTTTATGTATTCCTACCTACATATTATACCGTTTACTGATTAGATTTTATATGATATTATATGATATTTTTTAGTTTAATTATATTTATTTTTTTATTTTTAAAATAAAATTTAATTACCCGCGAAATTTATTTAAATATCATTATTTGTTTTTTATTTTTATTTGTAATTTTGTTATTTTATTTAACTTTTTAATTAAAAATGATTGTGTTACTATTTATCCATACTTATTGTCCCTATCTATATAGTTTCTATCTATTTATATTTATGCTACCTATCCGTGTTTTTGTTTATTAATGCCTATCCTATTTCCACCCATATATTCCTATCTTGTTTCATAAATGTAATAATACCGCAAATATAATACTACATTAATGGCTACATTCAGCAAAGAAAGCAAATAATATAAAATTCTTCAATATTGATTCTTGTTTTTGGTTCTTTATTGATTTAAATGTATTAATCAATCATATTGAAAATTTTGACAACAATTGTAAGGTTGCTTTTTCTATTGAACGCAGCTAATATCTAACCATGTCCTATCATTTACTGATAATTCAGCGAGGTAATCTGATCGCGGTCATATTAAAAAAATAAATAATAAATAATAATAATTAAACCAGACTGTTAATTTTTAAAATGCAAAAAATTAATAAGATTAATGAGAGTCAGCGCAGATAATTGAGCGCAAATTTTGTTTCAAAGAATTTCAAAAAATTTACAAAACTACAAACTTAAACACTTGATTATCCGCGTTAACTCTCATTAGTTCTGTTGTTTGTTAGTTATTTCTGTATTTTAAATAAACAATAATTCAAAAAATAGTGAAACTCAATTTGCGAACAAGTTACCCTCCTGAATACCCAGTTTATCTTTATATCTCTCAAAAATTTTGATGTTACTAACGACTTCATATAGATCCTCTTCTTTCTTCTGGCCAGACTGAACTTACCTTTCGTTGCTCTTAACCAATATTCTGACTTTATATGTCAGAAATCGACAACAAAGAGAAATATTCTTTTTTGCTGCTGACTAATCAATTGGCGTAAGCTTTTACGCTTCTGTATGATGTGCGAAATACGAATCATAAAAGCCATCACATTAATCAAATCAGTTAAATATGAAAATGAACTATGTCAAAAATAATGTAATAATTTTATTGATATATAAATAAACTTTACATTTCTTCTTTACTAGCATTTATTCACAATTAGAAATATGTACCTATTTATTAAAATTTCTATCCAGTTAAAAATAAATCTGAAAAATAAATTTGAAAAATCTTTATATTAATAAGCGTTCTGATTTGATTTGTGATTTCATCGCAAATATTACAAAATTTAGTTCCCTAGTATAAATTTTATAATATGAAAACAAAATTTTAATTTAAAAATAAATAAATAAAAATTATTCAATCTATCCGAATTATTCAATTATCCGATACCCAAAGTCCATATTCTTATCGATTTGAGCGATTTGTTGCTGAATTTCATCTCAAAAGCAGGAGATGAGAAATTCAGAAGAATAACGTAAAATTCGAAAGAGATAATAGATTTCCCTTATGAAAATTAATAAAAATATCTTTTATATTATTTACAAATTATTAGAATTATTTTTATACATAATAT